AAGCCCAGGGGTTATAGCAGAAATGGTATAGCAAAATTAGGAATGGATGTCAAAGAATAAGGATTAGAAGAAACAGGCAAGTTGACCCAGCAGTTAATTCTGTAGGGGCAGAACCTGGGGCTGTAGCACTAAGTTGTAGGATTATCTAAACCCTGCAAATATCATTTTGGGAAGTTTAAGTCCTTTCAATGACCTCATGTCTGCATCAGTGTAGTCCTGAACCATATGGATGTGTGGAGTCCTCCACTTTCCATTTCACGTAAGTCCACAGATGCTAATCCAGAGCATTGTAAGTAGTAGACGAATGACAGAATGTGCTGACATAATTTTTTAAAAAGAAAAGGCAAAAAGGAGACCAAAGGCCTACTGACGGAGTACTGAAGTAGCAAAATAAGAATCATCAGTGGAAGACAGGACTATATCAAATTAGTTTTTCAGAGTAAATCTGAGAATGGGATAAATTCAATATCTATATCTATATATCTATATCTATATATATATATATATTTTACTATTTCCAAAATGATAGTTTAAGAGATTTGCTGAACCTATTTTATCAACAGGGAATAAACAGAACAGACCACCAGAGTCAGTGTTATATCCCAATTTTGTTTTGACCCAAAAGTTAGGGAAAAGTCCCCTGACCTCATTTAAGTAGAGATTAAGGATATGGGAGTTTTTGCCTGAAAGTCTTTGAAAATGGCTAAAGCTTTTCCCTCAAGACTTGACTTTTATATGTTATTAAGACTTTAAATCCACTGTATCCATGAACCCTTCCTAAGGAAAGAACACGTAAATAAAGTGCATTTTTCCCCTAGGCTATAAATCCAAAAGTGGAGCATGACTGTAGAAGTAATACCAATTCACATGGTCAATCCATATAAAATAATTTAAAAATACGAGTTATTTTTAAGGATTAGTCATGTGCATGCACTAGTGTAGACAGATGATATGCCTGTGATTCTCCCTGCATACCACAGCTTTCCTTCAGCCTCTCCCATTTTGTACACATTGCACCTCAAATTACACTCTTTTGAAAAAATCAATTTTAAGAGTTCAGTGTTACATATCTATGCTTTACTCTATGCCCATACAAATGACATGCACACACACTCACATACAAAACTATACTTTCTTTTTTTAATTTTTGCAAAAATAGTATGATACTCTATACATTACTTTGAAATCTGATTAAATAAATTACCTACATGTCAATTAAAAGAATAAAAATTTCTTTTTTCTATTAAACAATTTTATTAAATACAAAAAATAAAACTCATATTTTCTCACTTTCTCAATCTTTCAAACACAATATACTCATTCACTTCCAGGTCAAGACATTTATTAATTTAATTCATTCTTTCTAATGGTAGTGCAATATTTCATAACATACATGAATCATATTTTAATTATTTTACTATAATGGACTTACTAGTTGCTTCCAGTTTTTTCCACTACAGAATATGTTGCAATAAATATCCTTGAACATATTGCTATGGTCTAAATGTCTATGTCCACCCTCCCTCCCCACATTCATATGTTGAGACATAATTCCCAAAGTATAGGTATCAGGAGTTGGGCCTTTGGGAGGTGCCTGGCTCATAAGTGTGGCAGCCCTGTGAATGAGATCAGTGTCCCATGAGGAACTGAAAATACCAGAGTTCTTTCCTTCTGCCATGGGAAAGTGTCATCTATGAACCAGAAAGTGGGCCCTCCCCAGACACTGAATCTGATGGTACCTTGATCTTGGACTTCTCAGCCTCCAGAACTGTGAAAAATAAATTTCTGTTGTTTATAAGCTACCCAGTTTATGAGTTTTGCTACAGCAGCATGAATAGACTAAGACACATATATTTGTACATGGACTTTTATTTCTATAGCATAAATGCTGGGAGTCGGGGAAAAGAGATGGTAGCTTAAAGGCCTTAGAGATTACCAACTTGAAGGCTGCTCTCCATTGCTTTGTAAAACTTCCTCAAAAACAGGATAAACTGGGATATTTTAAGTGCTCTTTTATTACTGATTTACAATTTTTGCTGATCACTTACCGTTTACCATTGAAAGGAACTAGTGAGGAACACAGAGACAAATGGAACAAATTTTCTGCTATCTAAGAGATCACACACCCTCTGTCAATATATTCTACAGAAACAGAGACCTCAGGGTGGCTCCTCATGCCACTACGTGCACACAGATTGTGTCTTCTTTCCCTCTGCCCACGACTTCAAACTTTCTCAGCAACTAATTTTCTCTCCCCTCTCTCCTCCCACGTCTCTAACTCAGCTTTTTAAAAATGTAGATCAACCAATTGACTTCTCTGACTTTTTAAGTTTGTTTTGTCCATGAGAATCTAATCACTGATTTATGAACAAAAAGCCATTTCTGTTCAGAGCCTTAGATTCATACAAGAGAAGGAAGGACCACAAATATTTTAAATGCAGTAACTTTTATTCTCTCTCTCTCTCTCTCTCTCTCTCTCTCTCTCTCTCTCTCTCTCACACACACACACACACACACACACACACACACAGGCCAAGAAAAAAGAACTATAATGCAGTATTAAGTGGTGTGGTAAATTCTCATGAATGAATGAACAAATAAATAAAAAGTAACAGAAGCTCCAAGAATGAGGTGAATCATTCAGTTTGGGATAGAAAAAGGGGAAGGAGTAAGCATGAGGAAAATCTTCATAAAGGAGGTAATATTTGAGTTGAGGTAAAAGGCAAACATTTTCTCCAGGCGTGGAGTGTGAGTGCGTTCCATGCAGTGTGAACAGAGAGAGCAAGGGCATTGAGGTAAACAGTGCTTTTGAGTTTTGAAGGGACCTGGCATAGCTTAGAATGGTGGTTCTCCAACTTTAATGCGTATAAGAATTACACAGGGAGCTTGTCTGAAATGCAGATTCATGGGCATCCATCTCCCCAATATTTTGATTTGGTGTCCAGGAATCTATAATTCAAACAAGTTCATCCAGATTGATGATACATTGAAATATACCAGTAGAGGCTGTGTGGTGAGTAGTGTCACAGCGTCATGTTGCAACAGTACTGGAGAGAACGCAAACTAACATTTCAGATAAGTGACAATGTGACACCATAAGAGATTATGTCAGAAAATGACGTCAGGTCTTTGAACTTGGTTTTGAGGAGAGACTGGCTTGACAATGGAGGCACCGCTTTGATCCAAAAAAAAAAAAGCCACTCTTTCACAGGAATTACGGATTAGAATGGCTGAACACGAATGTGGTCAGGATTTTGAGAAAAGCGAACTTTAAAAAAGTTCCCTGGGCTGTGAGCATCGCTCGCTTTGTCAAACTTGGCTGTAAAAAAAAAATAAAAAAGACAACAGTTTCCCAATAGCCAGCTCAGAACCACTAGTTCAAGCCTTCCCACAGCTGGCTCGATTATGTCAGTTTGATAGACTGGTGCATTTTTTTTTTTATGCAGGTCTGCAAAAAAAAAAAAAAAGGCCAATGTGATCCTCTCGCAGATCGTGCATGTGTGCATGTGAGCACTCACCGCGGTCATGTAGCCGGAGCCAGCCGAGCCCCGGGAGCTAAGACCTGGGGACGCAGAGCCGGCGCTTACGTAATTCCCCTCGGCGTCAGGCCCTGGGGATGAATGCTACGTGACGGCCCTGAACTTTCCGTCCAGATAGGCTCGCTCGCCTTTTTTCTCCTGGCGAGGAGGAACGTGTGACCTGCAGATGTCACTCTGCATGACCATCACCCGGCCGGCGGCGACACTCACACCGCCTCGTGGCAACGTCTTGAGTAACGCGGCCACGGGACCACCAGGGCGGCGTTTTTTTTTTTTTGTTGTTGTTGTTGTTTTGTTTTGTTTCTGCTTTGGACAAAGCAGAAGAGGAATACAGAAACTTCCTGAAGCCCGGTCGCTTTTGTTGTTTGTTGTCGGTTTTTTGTTTGTTTTTTAAGGGACAAAGCAGAAGAGGGAAATAACTTCCCACAGAGCCCGGTCTCGCTGAAGGCCGGCGGGCTCTTGCGGGGTAAATCAGGGGCGCCCTCCAGGAGGGAGCGGCGGCAGGGAAGGAAAAGGAGTCCCGCTCTCCGCGCCAGCCCCTTCTTCCACAGCCCCCTCGCGGCGGGGCAGGCGGCCGCGGGGCGCCGTCCCGGCTCCCACCAACTTTCGGGGCCCCGCCGCGTCCCCGCCGCCGCCGCCGCGCCGTCCCGCGCCCCGCCAGCCCAGGTGAGGGGCCGGGGCCCGGCGGCCGCCTCCTGGGGCCGAGGCCGCTCTCCCCACGCCGCCAGCCCCTGCGTGTCCGCGGGCGGGCAGGCGACACGACGCGACACCACACGAGACCCTTCGCCGCCGCCGGCGCGCGCCCCGCCACGCCCGCCACTCACCAGCTCCAGCGCCCGCAGGAAGGCGAGCGGCTCCTTCAGCGCCCGGAACGCGCCCGCCGAGGCCAGCTGTGGAGGAGCGAGGCAAGGGAGAGAGAGGGAGAGGGAAAGCAAAAGCAGCGTGAGGAAGGAAGGAAGGCGCTGCGGGCGCCCCTCGGGGTCCCCCCACGGAGCCCGCCGCCCTGCCCGCGCCGCCTCACCTGGCTCACGGGGTCCATCGCTCGGAAACCCGCCGCTTTCCTGTCAGGATGAAGTTCGCCTGACACCGCCGTCCTCGGGCTCGGAAAGAAGCCCCGTCGGCGGCAGCGGCAGGAGCGAGAGCCCGGAGCGGCCAAGGCGAGGCCCGGGGCCCGGGGAGAGAGCCGTGTGCCCCGCGCCCGCTCGCTGACGCCCGGGGCTGTGCGCTCCGGGAAGCCCGCGCGCGCGCCGGGGACGCGAACCCAGCGAGCCGAGGGGCGCGGAGGGAGGAAGAGCTGGGCCCCGGGTAGAGACAGCAGGGGAGGCGGGAAAGCCGGGCGGCCGGGGGGAGGCTGTGATTGGCCAGTCGCGGGGAGGGCGGGAGCTGGGCGGCGCAGGACCCGCGCTCATTGGTGCAGGCTCAGCCGCGCCCGCCCGCCCGCCTGGGGCTCTCAGGCTCCCGGGGAAACTTCGGGGCTGTGGGCTGAGGAGAGCGCACCGACTGGCTCTGTCAGCCCGCACTGAGGAAGGGGCTTCCAGGTAGGAGAAAAACATCCCTCACACGGGACACGTGTGCGAGTTCTGGTGACTTCTGAACTCCAGAGAAAGACTAATGTGTGCGTCGACTCCCTCGTGCATTTCCTCAGCCTTCATGGGACGTGGGTCGCCCTCCAGGTAGCCCCGCTGCTCCGTCAGAAAACAGGGTGGGCGTTGCTTTTTTCCCTCAGGGCAAGCAGCGGGGACAGGGGAAATCGCGACGTGGGCTGGACGATGACGCGAATGGTGGGCACAGGTGCTTTGGGTCACACAGTGGGGCAGAAGAGGAAACTGTGTGGAAAAAAAATTTTTTTTGTGTGACAAGAGTCTCACTCTGTCACCCTGGGTAGGGCGCCGTGGTGTCATCACAGGTCACAGCAACCTCCGACTCCTGGGCTCAAGCGATCCTCCTGCCTCAGCCTCCCGAGTAGCTGGGACTACAGGTGTGCGCCACCACGCCCGGCTAATGTTTGGCTAATTTCTTTCTATTTTTTTTTTTTCGTAGAGACAGGGGTCTCACTCTTGCTCAGGCTGGTCTCGAACTCCTGACCTCGAGCGATCCTCCCGCCTCAGCCTCCCAAGTAGCTGCGACTACAGGCATGCGCCACCACGCCCGGCTCATTTTTTTCTGTCTATATTTTCAGTTGGCCAATTAATTTCTTTCTATTTTTTTTTTTTTTTAGTAGATACAGGGTCTCGCTCTTGCTCAGGCTGGTCTCGAACTCCTGACCTCGAGCGATCCTCCCGCCTCGGCCTCGCAGAGAGCTGGGATGACAGGCGTGAGCCTCCGCGCCCGGGCCAGAAAAATGAACCTTGAAACGTAGACCCGGGCGCTGGGCAGGCAATCCTCGCCGCCAGGGCGTGAGGTCGGGAGCAGATGACGACGCCTGTTTCGAAAGTAGGAAACGGATTTAGTGAGGTCGAATTCAAGGAGGTGAAGCATCTCAGGAAGGGCCGAACGGGGATTGGAATTCAGGGACCTTTCAAGCTCATCGTTGTTTCTACTGGGATTCTATGCCTAGGACCTGACCCCCAAAGGAAGACACCCCCGCCCCCAAAACTCATCCTCAAATTTATGAGATTTTATTCATCATGGTAGAAGAAAATAAGAAAGTTGGCAAATCATCTGCTGCTTCTAAAAAAAGGGCTTTTTATAAAGTCCTCAAATAGGACTCTGAGTTTCTCCTAGAAAGTTTCTCAGACCGGCTTCTTGGAACTCAGTGAAAGGCGATTCACATATTTTCCTATCTTAGTGGGCTAGCCTTGGTGAATGTAACAAAACAACAACAACAAAAGAAAACACCCTGAGTCCTATGATCCAGAAACTGTGCTTTATAAATATTACTTCATGCGATGCTCATAAACCCCCAAGAGTCAGTCATAGTATCGTTCCCATTTTCGAGGTGAGGAAATCGAGGCACATGGAAGGGGAGTGGTCTGCTCAAGCTTGTACAGCTAGTGGGTAATGATGCCAGAACTGAATCAGAAAAGGAGTCAGAACAGGGCAGGGAGGAGGAAAAGGAAGAGGAGGAGGAGGAGGAAAGCTCTAAGCTACTACATACACCAAATCGCTGGTGCGTCCTCTTCCTTCTCACTGCCTTTGGACTGGATTCCATTTATGAGTGGTCTCCCAGCAACACAGATAGTCCATCTGTTTACTACCAAGATTTGCCAGGAAGGTTTGGGGTTTGTGTGCATGTGTGTGTGCATGTGTGCGTGTGTGTGTGGTGGGGGGGTGTTATTTGATATTCAGGAATGCAGGAGAAATATGGAAAGGAACAATGTGCTGTCTGGGAGGGGAGGCGGCAGGCCAAAACCGGTTAAGAAAGAGAGCTTCCAGTGTAGCTGCCCCCTGCCCATGGATTCTGCTAGGGAAAAAACTAGAGATGTAGTGAGTAGGAACTCCAACAGACCATTTGCACCATCTGCAGCCAGCGGGCTTTGTTCCTGGTGCTCTTCCTACATGCAGATAGAGCCTAAAACAATCAGAAACAGTTGTTTCAAAAATAAGCAGTTATGCAACTGTGGGGGGCGAGGTGGGAGAACTAACACTACCAAGTACTTGGTGCGTACCCGGCAAGCTATGTATATATGATCTATGGGTGAGATCACTTCAAGACCTCTTCAAAACCTCAGTTTGTTTCTTTGTTTCCATCTGTAAAATGGAGCCAGCAATACCTACCTTAGCTGGTTGTTACAGTGACTCCATGAGATTTTGAGATTTTGTAAACAGCATATGCAGGGCAGAGCCTGGCACTTCACAGTCTCCCAACGCGTGGTAGATACAGATCTCAACCCTAGCACTTCTACAGAAGCAAAGATGACTCACAGGTCCACAACAGAGGCATGATACATGGGACCACTGTCCTGCCATCCTTGCCCCTTTGGACCCAGACGTGGCCAGGCAACTTGCTTTGACTAATAAAATATGGGCAGAAGCCATATGTGCGTTTCTGGGCAAAAGCTTTTAGAAGCAGCAGATGATTTGCCAACTTTCTTATTTTCTTCTACCATGATGAATAAAATCTCTGCATAGAGGCTAACTCTGGGAGCCTGAGGCCTAGTGTGAGGATGATGTCGAGCAGAGCTGCCACTGGACTTTGATGGACATGGAGCTGTGCAAGAAATGTATTTTGGGGTGTCAACAACTAGAAAATGTAGGTCTTTTGTTACCATAGCATGGAATGACCTAAGCTGATTGATAACAATAGTTCACGCAGCTCGTAAAGTAGCTAAAGCAAGTTTCGACCCCGGGTTTGCATGACCTCATTGTCCTTGTATTTTTCCTCTTTGTATTGTAGTCAACGAGCTTAATAATGATGCATATGCTTAATGATGGTGATTGTAATAGCTAATTATCAACTGAGTTCTTGCTACCTGCGAGGCACTGTGCTAAGTGCTTTACATACATCATTTAAGCATCATCTTAATTTCGCCTTTTATGGATAGTATATCCAGCCTCAGAAAGGCTAAGTAACCTACCCAACAGTGTCATCATTTTGTATCTCCTTAAATAGGCCGAGGGATTTATTTAAAATAATGTCTACTTGCATATCATTTGAGTTGAGAACTTGGCAGAGATGAAGTGTGATTACTGAACCTATCCCCGCAGGTCTCTCTTCACACCCAATGTTCCTCCCTGCTAGTATGGTGGCATATTTTCCCAGTTCCCGAACACCATGTGAAGCAAGTCAGAATCGTGGCAAATGGCAATGTAATAGCTTAGGCAACAATTGCACATTGTCAGAGGATGCTTTTCACATTCCAGATATGTATGAGCTTCCAACAGCTGCATCACCAAAATAACCCAGAGTTTCATATCACATTTGCAATGTTAAGTATTTTGTAGACTTTTGAGGTTAGAACCTCTGTATTCAGACCTGGAAATAACATTAGGTTCCCTAAAGAACTAGGTTGGGAAAGATAGGAGGGCTGATACAAACACTGTCACAATATTACTATCAGTGGCTGAGGGTAACCTCCTTCTCTTTTGCCCCCGGGTGATGAAAGAAATTTTCCTCTTTTCTATAACAAATCTGTCACAGTGACTCAGTGATAATGTTAACTTTGGTGGGGCATAAATGATATATCTCAGTGGCCTGTATTGATTATGTAAATCAAGTAATTTCCAAATTCTCTTTTGTTTTGGGCCAGGGACTCATAGCTGTAAAGACCTCCTTTGACATTCCAAGATAATCCATTCATTTACTGCAGTGGTTCTGGTTCTCAACAGAGGGTGATTTAGGCCCTTCCCTCCTCCAGGAGACATTTGACAATGTTTGGGGACATTTTTGACTGTTACAATTGGAGGAGGGGAATGCTACCGTCACCCAGACGGTAGAGAGCAGACATGGTCCTCAACATCCTGCAATGCAGGGGACAGCTGCCTACAACAAAGAATTATCTGGAAAATGTCAATAGCGCCAAGTTTGAAGAAACCCTGGCTTACTCATTCAGCAAGTAAGGGCTGAGTGTCTATTATATGCTCATACTGTTCCAGGTAGTGTAAACAGTTCGCCAAGACACCTACCTGCCTTCATGAAGCTTACATTGTTGTGGGAAATATTTTAAGGCCAATTTTGTAAAGCTCAATATTTGCTAAATAAACAAATAAAATCAAGTTACAAAAGTAACCATTTTGAATCCCAAAGAATCAAAACTTTGAAAACCAAAGTAGTACCAAGCTGAAGTAGAAGGGCTTGCATTATTCAGGTAAATTAAATCTTGTTCTCAGGGGAAAACATACCTGGGTCTTATTTTCCTATGTCTTTTATGATAAAGAGGAAAAAGTAGTTTAAAATTTTATCAGTAGCAACTTAATAGAGGTGGAAACACCACTCATACTTTAAGAAATCTAGAATACTGGAAATAAGTAATAAGTGGATATCTGTGAAATGTTATATATTGAACTCTCTGTTCATGCTGCTAACTTGAACTTTCCAGATCTTTCCTTAGGTAGGTAGCTATGAAAGCAGAGGCCAGTAGCATGTCTGTGGCTTTGTTTGTTTATGTGTTCAGTTTGCATGCATACGGCCACTGGTGCATAGGACAAGAGGTGGTGTGGAAATATTTTCAAGAACTCTAATTTTATAATAAAAATGGCATTATCTCTCAATCCAAACATCAAATAAAGCCATCTTTACTTTCTTATGTTTCTCTCTTAAATGGATACAATAAAACATTAAAGGGTATATATATATGTGTTTGGTTTAAAACTGCATCGCAAAATAATATTCCACGGACTACCCTGTGGGAATTCCTTAGCATTCAGATAGGATCATTCTTAATTAACAATCATAACTGATATAAAAATTCATATGTAGATGGCTAACGTGAACTCGTGTCTTAAAATGCTTTTATTAATACTATTTCTGTTCTCATCTTTGTTTTAAACAAAAGAGATTTGTGTGAATCCAGACAGGCTTGTATATACGCAAATTAGAGGACCAAAACTAACATCAGAGGATTCACCAGGGAGTAATAGTAGCAACAGGAATTATAATAATGACCCTTACAACATTAAGTAGACTCTAGACAGAATGCTAATAAGTGCCTCTATAGGCATACCTTGTTTAATTTCCTCATCAACTTTATACATACACTGTTACTCCCATTATGCCCATGAGAAAACACAAGTTCAAAGAAATAAAAAATCTCAGCTAAGGTCTTATGGAGAGTAAATAGCAGAGTCAGGATTTTCCTCCTACTCTCTTAACTTTCCAAGAAAAAGATGATATGCAGTTTTCATTGCAAATCTGAAAATGTCACAAGCTTTAGGCAAAAATATTTTTCTTGCTGAAACACAAACAAAATTTCTCTGGAGAAATAAAGTAAAGTTGGGCACCATTTTCTAGTACTCTGCTAGTATTCCATGAACATACTAGAACACAATTAGAGAAATAACTCCTCCCTCTTCTCAAAGTCTCAATTATTCTAATTATTTTTGTCTTTCATCATTAGCTGTGTTTTCCAAAATGCTCATCATTTTTGACGTTCTCCTGGGATCACTTCCATGTTTTCACAGACTCATGGAGCACAACATTTTTGTGTTAATCTCACACCACCCACTGTAATTTTTGAATGAGGTAAATGAAGCCCAAAGAATGGGGGCATCTTGCCTAAAGTCTTCATCCGCAGAAAAGAGTCTAGCCTAAGCGTGATGACACATGCTATGGTATCAGATCAACTGAGTTCATCATGTCCTACACATCCTGGTTCTATCACATCCTAGTTGTATGGTCTTGGGCAAGTCACTTACACTCTTGTCGTTTAGTTTTCGTATCTGTAAAATGGAGATAATTTTACCACTCCCATCATTTTGCAAGAAGGAATAAATGAGTCAATACAAGTAAAGCACCCAGAAGACTATGTAGCAACAGATAAGCTAATGTAGACATCTACTAAAAAGCCAAGAAATATGACCAACAACAATAAGCAGATGGCCTATGATATTAGCACCCTATGAGGTTATCATATAGCCACTACTCACAATAAACACTTTTAAGAAATCATTTATTAGTATTTTCTTATCTTTCCTTCTTTCCCAAATTCTCATTTTTCCCCCCAATTCTCTTTTCTTCCTTTTTCCTTAAATCTCTAACCTTTCAGTTGATCTAGGAATTTTCCTCAGAGGTTAGTAAGAATATCAGGTAATTAAAAATGTTATTTTGGGGGAGCTTTTAGACATGCATACATTATTATATATAATACTAAGGTTATACAATACAACATATTTTTTAATTTCTCTGATAATTATGAGTAGAGCCTTGGCAGAGGTTTTTGTGATTTTCTTAAAACTAGTTTTATTTAGCAATATTTTCAATCTCTAATAATTTTATTTTAGTTTTAGAGAGGAAGTATTTATATATAAAAAAACTTATGGATGATGAAGATAGGAAAGATCAGATGGATTCTACTGTGTATTTAATACAAGCATGTATTCCAAAGTATACTGCATGAGTTCACTTTATTAAATTCTCCAGTCTGTAGACTTTGTGCTTCAATCTGACAAAATAGCTTTTGCATCTGCTCTGAATGAGGTAAAAGAAAACCTTACCCTGCTTGACAACTATAAGAACCCATTTACTTATTCTTTCCTAATCTAAATCTTTAAGAAAAAAATCAAATTAATTCAGATATTAAGATATTTGAAAATGGATTGCTTTGCCATACCATGGTCATGTTCTCTGCCTGCCTAGGTCTTTTCACACAGCCTGGCAACTGTGTGAGGATACTGCTGAATCCACTCACACAGAGAAGCACAAACCCAATACCTAAAATTAGTTTTTTACTAAATTATATTGCACTGCACTTTTACACCTGCTTGGCAAATAATACCCAGAAGAAAGGTACAATTACATAGGTTCTTTGCCAGAAATAGAAGACAGATTAAAATAATAAACACTTAAAAAGAGAGGAGGAAGGAAGGAAGATGAGACAGAGAGAGAGAACATGAAAGAATTTTCTCCAAACCATGGTCAGCAGATAGCAACAGCGTCATTGTAAATTACTTTTATTCAGAATTTACTAGGTGCTGTGATAAGCTCTTTATAACTCTGTAAATTAGTTATTATTATCCACATTTTTTACATTTTACAAATAATGGACTTGAAGCATGGATAAGTTAAATTACTAGTCCAAGTTCATACAGCTACCTGGAAACCAAGCCAAGTTTGAAGCCAGTATTTCTTGAGAATGTGAACTAATTTTATGCCTTCTAATTATCTAAGATATAAAATATACATCTCTCAGATCCCAACTGGAATCTAGAGATTTTTTTCTTAAGAGACAGTCTCATTCTGTCACCAGGCTGGAGTGCAGTGGCATGATCACAGCTCACTGCAGCCTCAAACTCCAGGGCTCAAACAACACACCTGCCTCCACCTCCTGAGCAGCTACCGTGTTTCCCCCAAAATAAGACAAGGTCTTATATTTATTTTTCCTCAAGAAGACACCCTAGGGCTTATTTTCAGGGGATATGTTATTTTTTTAAAGTAGGGTACAACAATCTACATTTATTCAAATAGAGTTAAGTCGTCTTCTTCTGGAACATCATCATAACTCTTCCAAACTCTAAGTTCCATCCTGAATTTTTTGCAACTCTTATTTTTTTAGAACCATGGGCCCCAATGCCTCATGTCGAGCAATAGAGCTCTCATGGGGCAGATGAGAAGGGCTGCTCATCTTCTTTACTGCTCCATGACGAAATGCATGGGTTATGCGGATATGCTGGGTAGCCACGCCCATCACGAGGTCTTATTTTCAGGGTAGGGCTTCTATTGCACAAATGCTTAGAAATCCTGCTAGGGCTTATTGTATGGGTAGGTCTTATTTTCGGAGAAACACGGTATGACTGCAGGCACATACCACACACCTGACTATTTTTTTTTACATTTTGTAGAGATGGGTTCTCACTGTGTTGCCCAGGCCGATCTCAAATTCCTGGCCTCAAGCAATCTCCCGCCTGGGCCTCCCAAAGTGCTGAGATTATAGGTGTGATCCACCGTACCCGGTGAAATCTGGAGATATTGATGAGATTTTTTGTCTAGCTACCAGCCTCAACTCACTAATTAAATACAAGGGAGCTACGTTGTCCACATTCTCAATCTTCATATGTTTCTTAGTTTCTTTCAGTCTTGCTACTGATCATTTTTGTAACACCACTTGATCTTATGAAAAACACTGTTTTCATTTTGTTGTAAAAATATCTGAAGAATTTCCTGTTTCACCTTATTTCTATTCTCTCTTCTTGCCAGCTGGGATCCATATGTGATGAGGCGAACGAAAGCAGCCACCTTGGAGCCAAAAATGTAAGTCATGTCTGGAGGGTGATGGAGTCATCTGACATCTGATCTGTCACAGTGCAGCACTTTGTTCACACCACTGTGCTCTGGGATTTGGTGGTTGTTAGGGCCCTTTAGACTGTATCCATCTCATTACAAAGTCTCTCAATGCTCATTTCAAATAGCATCTATTTTAGAAAGGCTTCCAGATTTTCACCTCCTTTAGTCATTTTTACCCTATGCTCTTTTTATTCTGAAAATATTCTTTTTAGCGCTTATAATCCTCTGGATTTATTATAGTTATCTTAATTAGTATCTGTTTCCAACCTTAGAAGCCTTGCCCAGTGCTCCATACTAAGTTAGGCGCCTCTGTTGTATGCTCCTGTAGCACCCTGTACTTCTCTGTAATAATTATGCTTGAATTTACTCTTCCAGTATTTGGCTTTCCACAATACTGTAAGCTCCACCTGGGGAAAAGCTTGGTTGCCTTTCAGGGAACTATACCCACTCCCACAAGAAATCTGGCACATGAAGGCACACAGCAAATGGTTTTGGATGAATAAATGATCTCCTTAAAGGTAGAAAATAGGGATTACTTATATTTATTGCCTAATCATTGCTAAGCTCAGTGTCTGACACCTATTAAGTGGCCCATAAATGTAAAATTCAAAAAACTCAGTTTGAATAGGATGACATTGGAGAAAATGAGATGGAATGGGATGGGGTATTTAGAATATTAGTTCAGTGCAGGGCAATAGGTGATTATTTTGGTCCAGAATGTCCTCACAGAAGGCTCATCTGGCAGCGTTCCTGTTACAAATATTTTTAAATTCTTTTACATGTAAGAAATGATTGTTGGTAATAGCAATGATAACAATAAATCAGCCAGAAAGGAATGGTTGTTAGATAAATTCTGAGATCGGTCTTTATATCTTAAAAGCAGCTGTATGCATATTTACTTTAATTTGAACTCCCATTCCCACCTTTCCATGGCCAAGCATTTGTGAGAATGGTTTCTTTATTCATAAGCAAATTATATCCTTATGTTATTAGGAAAATAGAATTTACATTACTATGTGAGATATTGAAATACATAATAGTTTCTCAGTCATTTATTACTATTACTACTAATAAAATTATAAAAAGGCTTTTCAAAAATATTTCATATGAGTAAAATTACCTAGAAATTGAAAGAAATTTCTAGAATTGACACAGTGCAGAAATTTCAAACAATAATATAATTGGAAAATTCACGTTCAGTCGTAATCAATTCCATTCAATTCCCCAGTAATAAAATGGGTTCAATATTAGGTTCTCTAAATTTTCAAAATACAATTGACCCTTGAACAATATATGTTCAAACTGCACTGGTTCACTTAGACATGGATTTTCTTCCACCTCTGCCAGCCCTAAGACAGCAAGACCAACCCCTCCTCTTCCTCCTCATCAGCCTACTTAACGTAAAGATGATGAGGATGAAAACCTTTATGTTGATCCACTTTTGCTTAATGGATAGTAAATATATTTTCCCTCCCTTATGATTTTCTGAATAACATTTTCTTTTCTCTAGCCTACTTTCTTGTAAGAATACAGTCTATCGTATATATAATGCACAAAATATGTGTTGACTGTTTATGTTATCAATAAGGCTTCCAGTCAACAGTAGGCTATTGCTAGCTAAGCTCTGGAGGAGTCAAAAGTTATACATGAATTTATACATGCATCCCAGCTATGCAGGGGATCAGTACCCCTAACCCCTGCATTGTTCAAGGGTAAACAGTATTCCATATTTTCCATGAATATTTTATATGCATGAATTATCACAATTAAACACTTATGTTGTATGTATCAACAATAGATTGATTGATTTGATCATCTATCCACAACATGAAATGATGATTTCTTAATCTCATCCAGGCCTCTCCTTTTGCTGTCTGGATAACTTGTTATCAATGACTCTTTAATAAAGGCTGACTTTGGGGACTTCCCCCTCACTTGCAACTTGGCACGTAGAATCACATGTACATTCTGTGCTTATTTTATTTGTTTGTTTACATTAAGAGCGGTTATTCCACAGTACGAAGCAACGAATATTCAAGTGACAGGAAATCTGAATTTATGAAAACATTTCTGAAGTTATTAACTGTTTCAAAATATTTTTTTTATTTTTGCTGAAATTGATGATACTGGACAAATTGCCTTATTTATTTACTTACTTTGCTCTTCCATGATTCCTTTAAAATTTATTCAGTAGTGGGGAAGTTCCCTCAGGCTCCCTCCCGAAAGAAACCTCAGGCATGACTCTGAATCACTCTAAATACAAAAGTCATTTGATGAAATTATCTCAAATCTAAAATTTGTCATTGCCAGTCCCATATAATAATCAAAATTGCAAAATGGATTGAAAGTTACATCTTTGATCCTCCAGCCAGGGTCTCATGCAGTTGAGAAGCCTACATGCAGTGGAGGATGCTGCAGTTGGCCTCTTTCTCTCTGTTCCTCCACTCCCACTGGCTAACAGATTTCTGAGAGGAGCAAAGAAGGGTCGCTGGAGTAGGAGGGCTCTTAGTTGATTGACACTGTTGTAAACTGGCTTCATCCCATCCCAGCCTAGAAGATGTTTTCTTATTCAGAAAGACACTGTCAGCTCCCACCATTGGGGACCTCTCACCTGCCCATCCTTGATTTGTCCCCGACTCCTTCTGCAGCTGCTCAGGAATCTGGGAGTCCCCTCAGGCTCCCTTCTGTCGAGGCCTTGTTGACACTCCAGGAAAGCCCTGTAAGGCAGGACCTAAGAGGGCCCAAGGTGGTTCCCTTACAAGTGGCCCATGGGAAAAACTTGTGAATCCTTTAGGCCAGCAAACTTAGAGAAAGCAGGTCACTCAAAGTTTCCAATTCTCCTTTGACTTGTCCACCATTAGCTAACCTGGTACATTTCTCAGAAAGGAGCCGGACATCAGTTCACTTTTTCCAACTGTGGGAAAAAATTAAACACATCAAATTCCAGTTTCACATCTGTAGCTTCTCAATGAGCTCAGTGCACTTCCATATAGCCCATGGCCACATTGTGACTTTCATGAGCCCTCTCTGCACAAACTCATATTAAAATTGTCTTTTATGACCGTATTGGTTTAAAGATGAAAACAATACAAGCTAGACTACATTCATCTTTTTTCTTCTGATTTTAAAAGAAATAAAAATATCTTCATAAGCCCCTAAAGCACCATGGACCTCAGGCACTGTGCCTACTAGATTTAGTAGAAAAGCCAGCCCTGAGTGAGACCCCAGAAGTATAACCAGTATGTTAACCATCAATTCAAGAAAGTGTGATAACAACACAACTTTAATTTCGTTTTCCTCCTATTAACAATTTATTAAGCACCTACCTGATACTCAGTACTATAATATGAAACACAATAGACACTCGATGTTTTCAACATTTGGATGTACTAAAGTAGGTGATGTAATTATATGGTGAAAATAATAACAAGGCAATAGCTCTGGGGAAAAAGAAAAAGAAATCACAACTGATTAAACTGGTTTATGTTATAATTCTTCTCTTTTCTGGGCCAACCTCTATATAGGAAACATAGGCACACTGTGGGCTTGGTAAGGGATACCCATGTTTCCCTTTCACATCAATAATGAGTATTACGAAGTCCTTGCCCATTTGGATGGGGAGCTATCAGGTTTGGATTTCTGCAGCATCTGTGAACTTTGGTGAGGTTTGCTTGAGTCTGTGTTTCTAGACTCAAAATATTTTCACTTGTAAAAGAGGTTTGGAAGATATTGTCTTTAATATTCCTGCTGCCCTATAGTGGTTAAGGGAAGCAAAGTAAAAGACTATTAAATGTTGATGAATCCAATTTGAATCCACTAAGTGGACATGGACCCTATGTCTAAATATTATTTCTTTAAACAAATGATACATCTCATTCATTCAATAATTATTTATTGACTATCTACTCAACACAAACACTTCACTAGGTATTGGGGTGACAATAGTGATGTTTCCAGCCCACATGGAGTGTGAAATTCTAGGAATTGAATAAATTGTTCTGCTTGCCATATTCTAGTTATTGAAACTTAGGAGATTTTTATTCCTTGAACATAAAAATAGTCCTTACATTGTTTTTTAAGGTTAAAGAAGAAAGGGAGGTTTCTTGTTTCTTTTTTTTAACAAAAAACGTAAATTTCAAAGTGAAAAATTATCATTGGAAATCAAACTGCCACTATACACTGTATACTTAAAAACACATTTAAATTATTTCTATGGTTTTGAGTGATTTCTCTGTCCATGTTCCTAGCAATGAGTGATGGCAGCGTAAGGCTGCCCTGTATACAAAACACGTTCACTCAAATTCACTCCGTCTCTACCACATTCAGAGGAGGCCCATTCTTCCATTTGTATTTTATTGCCTGGCCACTGTTAGCATTTGGCTTTTCAACCTCTGATCTAATCCAATTTCCTTATCATGCAAATAAACAAATGAAGACCCAGAGAAATGAGAAGGCACATCACAGACAAATCTGCCTGGGATAAGACCTTCTAACTTTTAAGTCCAACCAGGTGTTGTCATTGGCATTATGGTGGTCTCTGTAACTTCTCTAGGCAGTATGTACCATCGTAGTGAACCTAGTGCCTGTGCTTCCCTGGATGCATTTGGGCCCACTTGCCTGGCCTTGGCTGCTGGCCACTACCTCCATGCATTGCTGGCTGCCTCTGTCTTCTGTGGACTAGGCTGGGTTCTAGCATGTCTCTATCACACTTACCACAGTGTGGACAGCAGTACCCAGTCCATCTGAGTGGGCCACATTCCCACCCTTTTGGACCCAGGTACAGCCTACCTATGGGATGGAAGACTAACTTCCTAGCAGCTTCCCAGAAGGGTCAGATACCACAACCTGGTAGCACAGGGCGTTAATACCCTATGGAGCAAATTTGACTAGGAAAAGAGACAAAGAAGAAGCCATGGATAATTCCTTATCTTTCCTCTCCCTACCACCCCTGAACACACTGCTCCTAA